AAAAACCATGTTAACAGAACATCAAGGTTGCAAAGTCAAATATTCAAAAGATAGGAAATTAGGGTTGTCTGTACAACTTTAATTTGGCTCCCTGGTGCATTTGCATTTATGGTACAGTCTTTCATTACATGTTTACATACTAAAGGCCAGATTTTTCAAGAGCCAGACTAGCAGATTTTAAAAGATGCAGTACACACCTACTAGGATTTTCAAAAGTACCTAGGAGAGTTGGGCACTTTTGAAAACCCCATTAGGCGCCTGTCTGCATCTTTAGATACCTTTAAAGACCTGACCATAGACCTTCTGTCCCTGTCCCCCAGAATGTCCACCTCCAGTGTGTACATTTTGCTACCTTTCCCCTGGCTCCTATCACCACCAGCCACTGCCACCATCTATTCCTATCCCCATCAGCCTAGCTTCCCTGCTCCTGTTCCACCAGCCAGTCTTCCTCTCCCACCTCATTCCCAGCCTGTCCTCACTCTGCATTCAAGTGAGGCTGTTCCTCCTTCTCCTCCACACTGCCTGGGCACCAGCAGGAGGAGCGCTGCTAGCACAGGCCTTAACCTCCCTGCTTTCAGTGCCTGGCCCAGAATTGAGGCAACACTTAGCAGCCAGGAGGAGGAATTACTGGAACAGTCCTGCTTGGCTCCTGCAGCCCTGAGCAGGAGCATGCTCAGTACAGATGGACTCTTCAGAGAGTTTAGCTGCCAAATTCTAATAAACTTCTACTAAGAATGTGCACAAAACAATTAACAGAGGCTTCTAACTCAGCCAAAATTGGGTGGATATTAGGAGTGGCTTATTTCCGTTTAGCTAAGCTGATTCCTAATTACTTTAACTAAATTGACATAAACCAGGCTAAAACTGAAATAAAAGTTTCTAGAGTCTTTTGCACCAATTTAACAATATCCATTTAGAATCACACTTTGAATTAAAATAGTGCAACTCTATATGTAGACAAGCCTGACGTTAAATGACCAACAGACAAAGGGTTATATTATCTGTTATACTCTCCTCCTCTTCTATAGGCACTGTGATTTCTCCATCTAGTTTTTGTTACATGCAAAGATAAAAATCATCATCATGTTTATCACCGATAACTCAGGGTTTGGAGTTTTAACAGCTACTGCTTGAGCTAAAGGACAGGCAGAGTTGCATCAGTTTAATTTAAGGTGTATTTTTAAACTAATTTAGTTAAGCCAGTGCAGAAGGCTTTGTGGACACTCTTATTTTGGCTTAAACTAGGATTATTTCATGTTTAGGCTAAAGAGAAATAAGCCACTCTCAAACTAAAATAAGAGTGTCCACACAGGGGCTTGCACTGGTTTAACCATACCAATTGAAACCACTGCAAATTTGTGCATATACATGGCCTAAGTCCCTTAGCTGGCAGCGGTCACAGTTGTATCCTCTGGGGATCAGGCTCAGATGGGGACTTGTAGCACTCACTGAACAGTGAGTTACATATGGGACAAAGACTTTCTTGTTATTACAGGTATGTACAGCCCCTTGCGCAATGGAACCCTGATTCTGCCCCCACAGCACACCTGTGATACAAAGAATAATACTAGAGCACAGAGGGAAATGGTTTGACACAAAATTGTATAATTTGGAATGTTTAGGTTTATGTTTCTTCTTAGAAGCTGTCTGCAATCTAGCCACCTCTCAAATGGGAGGAACAGCTATTTAACAGCACACAGAACCAATACACTTCAGCTAGGGCAATGAGCAAAGAAGAATACAAGGCCAAGTTCTCTGCTGGTGTAAACTGGAACAGCACCATTGATTTTAATGGAGATGTGCTAATTTATACCCACAGAGAAAATGGTCCACTGAGTCCAGTTGTAACAGCAGTGGGAATTAGGTAGGCAGATTTACTCCTCTACTTTTGTGAAAAGTGCATGGAATCTACAACGACCACAAAAAACTTGGTGTTACTCCTCTGCTGAAAGATAGACTTCTTGGGCGAATTAATAGGGTAACTTTTAAAGTAGAGCATGCGGAGAATTGCTGGTGAGATCACCCCACTCCCTCCCCCCGTGATGTTGCACTCCATATGTTTTATGGAAATATGCTTATGAGTGTGAATATGATGTAACTGGAATATGCTTTATGCAAAAGGTCTCTTGTAAGGTATCATAACAAAGGTTATAACCTACTGAATATATTCCTCCTATTTGACCATGTCAACTGATAATGAAATCCATCTTAAATCTGGTACTTTTCCATTTAGAAGGAGGGGCAGGGACCCAGAGAGACAAAAGATTCCCGCCTTGTGCCAAAGCTATAGAAGAGGATGGAGCAGGACAAAAGGGGCTGCCAGTCATGAGAAAACCCCTGCTTACCACCTGAGATGTCTGCTGGATCTAACAAAGATTGTACCAGGGGAAAGGATTGGGCCCAGACTAGGAAGGAGTCTAGTCTGTGAAAGAACCTTATTGGAACATCTCTGAGGGTGAGATATTACGTGCAATCAGTTTCTTAATGTATTAGGCTTAGACTTCGGTGTTTTTGCTTTATTTTGCTTGGTGACTTACTTTGTTCTGTCTGTTATTACTTGAAATGACTTAAATCCTACTTTTTATACTTAATAAAATCACTTTTGTTTATTAATAAGCCCAGAGTAAGTAATTAATACCTGGGGGAGCAAACAGCTGTGCATATCTCTCTATCAGTGTTATAAAAGGTGGACAATTTATGAATTTATCCTGTATAAGCTTTATACAGAGTAAAATGGATTTATTTGGGGTTTGGATCCCATTGAGAACTGGGTGCCTGGGTGCTGGAGACAGGTAACCTGCTGAGCTGTTTTCAGTTAAGTCTGCAGCTTTGGGGGCAAGGACCAGACTCTGGGTCTGTGTTGCAGCAGGCTAGCATGTCTGGCTCAACAAGACGGGGTTCTGGAAGTCCCAAGCTGGCAGGGAGAATGGGCTCAGAGGTAATTTCAGCACATCAGGTGACAGTCCCAGGGGATCTCCATGACAGAACACGTCACCCCCCCCCCACACACACACACAGTTGGGGGATTTGGGGGAAACCAGGCTTACAGAAAATCCCTACATCAGCCTTCATCTTTAAAAGAAATAGGAACCAAAAGTCAAAAATAGGGAGAAAATTACAAGTATTATGTTACATTATCTATTATTAATTAGTAATAATACTGTGTATGTTCCATCTGAGGCTCTCAAAGCACTTCAAAGGCATCACTTAACTTTTACAACTGTGCATGAGATAGAGAAGTTCCCTATCTGCATAGGGAATTTGAGGCACTCAGAATTAAAGCAATTTTCCCAGCAAGACAGTGGCCAAGGTGGGAACAGAACTTAGTTCTTTTGACTCCTGGGTCTTGTGTTTTAATAGCGGAGACAGTGTGGTTTAGTAGGCAGGACATTGGACTGGGCGTCAAGACATCAGGGGTAATTTTCAGAAACACCTAAGTGGCATAGGAGCCTAAGTCCCATTGACTTCCAATGGGTATGTCTACATTGTAATTAGACGCCCGTGGCTGGCCCGTGCCAGTTGCCTTGGCCTCGTGGGGCTTGGGCTAAGGGGCTGTTTGCGATGCAGACATTCGTGCTGGGACCCTCCCCCCTCGCAGGGTCCTAGAGCCTGAGCGCCAGCCAGATCCCAAATGGCCACACCACAATTAAACAGCCCCTTAGCTCGAGCCTGGGGAGTCCCAGTCTGCTGGCATGGCTCAGCTCCATGTTTTTAATTGCAGTGTAGACTTAAGCTCCCAAGTGTCTAAGTCAACTTGCGAAAATGGTAATTATGCTAAGTCATTTAAATGTTTCTGAAGAGGTTTTACCCTTGGTTTTTATTCCCAGCTTTGTCACTGATGTGACCTTGGGCAAGTCTCTTCACCACACACCTCTGTTTGAGGGAAATACCCTTCCTTTAGCTTGTCTGGGCTGTATGATCTTCAGGGACTGTCTCTTACTATGTGTTTGTGCAGTGCCTACCACCGGGGTGCTAATAAATAATAATCATCAATAAGTCACTCACTCGCCAAGGCTTCCTCGGTTTTGTTTGTAAAAAATCAAAAAATGGTCTTTGCAGTAGAAGAAGCTTAAAAGCAGAGTTAAACTCAGTACCAAAGCAGCAGCAGCAGCAGGAGAGATCTGAGAAGTAAGAAGACAGAAATGCCTCGCCTGTCTCAGAGAGATCTTTGCTAAATCATAGGGCTGCCTCGGCTCTCACTCCCTCAGGTCGAATAACTCCTGCTGACATAATTAAGAAGAATGTGTCAAGTTAAGCACCTCCCCAGCCAGAGTTCTTCTCATACCCTATAGATCAGTTTCTTCCCCTTGTATGTGAATGATCAATGAGGCTGCTAGCAGCGTTAGGCGGGACCTAGAACCAAGACAACCCTCTTCAGCTAGCAAATAAAAATAAATAAATAGACCCCTGACCAGTGGGGAAGGGAAGGAGAAAAGGACTGCAGGAAACCAGGCATCTCACCATTAATGTAGGAAGATATGGGGGAACTGTTCGATGTATAAAGCAGCACATCGTGAATTGCTCTTAGCAAGTATGTCTCTCTATTAGGGGTGGGAGTTTGTCTCTGCCTGTGCGTCGGGAAGAAACAGACTATTATAAAACAGCAAGTGGGGGGGGGGGGGGGGATGAAGAGAGGGGGGTGGCAGGGCGGGGGGGGGGGGGGGGGGGGGGGGGAATGCTTCCTGTTTCTTTAAAGCTCATCTGTGGGGTTGCAAGGCTGGAAAGGCTCTTGGCTGTGCGAGGCAGTCAGCTTGTCACCGGCGGCGCGCTGACTGATCTCGCTCACAGGGGCTTCTGTGTAAACTGAGGCTAAACAAACACAGATGGAGCGCAGCGTGCACTCCCCAGAAACGCGGCCAATGCGGCGGGGACTTCAGCTGACATTCTGACTGCTCCAGGGGCGAGCCCACCGCCGCCCTGCCTGCGCCGAGCCGCGTGGTAGCCCAGCTGCGGCAGCGGAGCAGGAGGGGGGGAGGGAGGGTGTATGTCTGCAGGGGGGGGAGCCAGCGACCTGCGAGGGAGCGAGGCAGGCACTCACTGACAGGCTCCCACCATGAGAAACATGCAGCTCCTGGACGAGGAGCCGTGGCAAAGCCTGTGCGGGAAGGAGCTCGGCGGCCTCAAGAAGCTGAAGCGGAAGCACAAAGAGCCGCCCGCGAACGGCTACAAAAGTTTCAAAGTGGCGCTGAAAGTCAGCGAGCGCGCGGCCGGCGGGAGGCAGCGGGCGAGCCCCGCGAGCCTGGTGCCCGAGAGCGGGGCGGCGGGCAGCTCCCAGGGGGCAGCGGCCCCGCCGCGGCTGGGCGGCAGAGAGGCGGGCAGCGCCGCCGGGGCGCTGGACATGCGGAAAGGCGCTTTCCCGGCGGCAGGACTCGCCTGCCAGCCCCCGCGCAAAGAGCCCTGCTTGCCCCCGGCCGCTTTGAACGGGCTCCAGCCGTGCCCGGGGGAGCAGAGCCTCCCGTCCAGGCTCGTCCTGTGTCCCCCGCCGCCGCAGCGCCCTTTGGAAAGTGCCTACGCCTCGGTCGCACCTGGAGCTTACAACAGCACGCCCGAGTCCGCCGCATCGCCTAGGAAACGGCTGGGGGAACCGGCGGGCGTCTCCTCGGAGATCAAAGCCATCCAGCAGACCCGGCGGCTGCTGGCGAACGCCCGGGAGAGGACCCGCGTGCATACCATCAGCGCAGCCTTCGAGGCGCTGCGAAAACAGGTACTCGCACCCCCCCCCTCCCCTCTGCTCATCAATCACCCCGGGCATGCCAGCTCCTGCCTGGCCCATCTCCGCTGCGTGTCTGCCCCCCTTCCCCCAAAGAAGTTTGACTTCAAAGGAGAAGAAAGTGAACCCCCTCCCCCCGTGCTGTTTCGGCCTCTTCCCTGATTTTGCTGGGTGTAGTAGGGGCTTTCGGGGTGCGCCTCTCCGCTTGTCTTTTTAAAGACATTTGCCTGCCACTGAAATGCTAATCCATCCGCCTCGGGTTGCGGGAGATACCCTGAGCCCTGCTGCTGGGGCATTCCACGCAGTGGGGGCGCTTTCAGTGACCTTTGTCACACTTAACTTCACCCAAAAGGTCACTCAACTTTTTGTGCGCAAGAGTTTTTTGTTTTAATTCCTAATGAGATTAGGAGGGGAGGGGAGTCAGTTTGATAGAATATAGGGTATTAATGCTGCACAGGATGGGTGTGATAAAGCGAATTACTGGACAGTTTAAAACGTTGGATCTAACACTGCGTTTTTTCAGCACCAAAAACTGCTCATGGACGCAGCATTCCTCGCATCAAAAGAGTTCACGTGGGTTTCATGCTGGGGATAAACGATATCTTCCTAAATCAAGCCCATTGTCCCATTGATTACACCTCATTTTACTCATATCATTTTCCCAGAGATATTTTACTTTTTCTGTGTGTTGAACAAGCTCTGAAACTCAACTTTATTTGGGGTCGCCTGCGTTCGCTCCGTGAGTTATTATTACAATACAAATACAGCCTGATTTAATGGAGCGAGGGATAAGGGCAGAGTGCAAGAGCCATTAATAGTGCTCACCAGGCTGGTCAGTGGTTATCAAAACTTTTTTTTAAATGTTAGAGCAGCAAAGGAGAGAGAGAGAGAGAGATTGAAAATTGACTCTTAAAAACCTCCCCCCAAAATCACACTGGCTTTTTATACGGGCAGCTTATTCATACCAGCAGGGGGTGGGAGAGAGAGCTGTAGCAAACTGTTTGCCAAAGTTGTGAGCTACAATGAAGCCTAAATCCCACCTCATGACACAATAGCTCACCTCACTCTTGCTGTTTACCTGGAAGAGTTGGGCTGGGAATTTTCAGAGACACAAGGGAGTAAAGGAAATCAACTCCCATTGACTTTTGAGTTGGCTGTCTAAACCCCTTAGGCCTCTTTGGCTAGGTCTACACTACAGCGGGGTTCCGACCTAAGATACGCAACTTCAGCTACGTGAATACCGTAGCTGAAGTTGCGTATTTTAGGTCGGCTTACCTGGCGGTGAGGACGGGGGAAAGCCGACCGCTGCCTCGCTGCCGCCGACTCCGCTGCCGCCTCTTGTCGAGGTGGATTTCCGGAGTCGACGGCAGAGCGATCAGGGATCGATTTTACCGCGTCCTCACGAGACGCGGTAAGTCGATCCCCGATAAACCGATTGCTACCCGCCGGATCGGCGGGTAGTGAAGACGTAGCCTTTGACATCCTCAGCCTAGTTCATCATTCTACATCAGGGGACGGTAACCTTTCAGAAGTGGTGTGCCGAGACTTCATTTATTCACTCTAATTTAAGGTTTCGCGTGCCAGTAATACATTTTAATGTTTTTAGAAGGTCTCTTTCTATAAGTCTATAATATATAACTAAACTATTGTTGTATATAAAGTAAATAAGGTTTTTAAAATGTTTAAGAAGCTTCATTTAAAATTAAATTAAAATGCAGAGCCCCCTGAACAGGTGGCCAGGACCCGGGCAGTATGAGTGCCACTGAAAATCAGTTCGCGTGCCGCCTTTGGCACGCGTGCCATAGGTTGCCTACCCCTGTTCTACATGATCCATCTTCAAGGTACCCTTTAAGCCAATGTGAAGAACAAGCTTTCTTTTAAAAAAGCATATAAAATCCTCAACATCCTGCCTGAATGGGAAATATAAACTTTTTCCAAGCGCAGAAAAGAACGGCTGAAATGTTAAATAATGCTCAGGACAATGTCGCTGCGACATGGTCACCTTCCGAACATGTGTTGAGTGAAGCAGCTTAGTGTGAAGGAAGCACCTCTATCCGCCCGTCTGGTGCCGCTAGGCCCATTCAGCAAGGTTCACGTGTGCCTAACTCTAAGTCCTTGAATAGGTCCACATGCTTATGTATCTTGCAAAAGTGAAGCCTTTCATGTTAGTTAGTTAGTTGTAGGGTTTTCTATGGTGTTCATCACCACAGTATCTGAGCACCTCCCAGTACATAAGAACAGCCACACAGGGTCAGACCAAAGATCCATCTAGCCCAGTATCCTATCTTCCAACAGTGGCCAATGCCAGGTGTCCCAGAGGGAATGAACAGAATAGGGAATCATCAAGTGATCCATCTCCTGTCACCCATTCCCAGCTTCTGACAAACATAATCCCTGCCCATCCTGGCTAACAGCCATTGATGGACCTATCCTCCATGAACTTATCTTGTTCTTTTTGGAAACCTGCTATCATAGAATCATAGAATATCAGGGTTGGAAGGGACCTCAGGAGGTCATCTAGTCCAACCCCCTGCTCAAAGCAGGACCAATCCCCAGACAGATTTTTGCCCCAGATCCCTAAATTGCCCCCTCAAGGATTGAACTCACAACCCTGGGTTTAGCAGGCCAATGCTCAAACCACTGAGCTATCCCTCCCCCCTCTGTAGTCTTGGCCTTCACAATATCCTCTGGCAAAGAGTTCCACAGTCAATGAATTTATTCTCGCAGGACCCTTGGTAGGTTGGGATGTGTCTAAAGAGACGCTAAGGTAGTTTAGTGCCTGTAGAGATCAGGGCTATAACAGTTAGAACATCATTTGGTCCTGTCTGCACCAGCAAGAAAGACCCAAGAGGGTTATAACATGACCTCCAGACCTTGCAAAATGTGCTGAGTAGACAGGTCCTGTGAAAGAGAGGAGAGCGAGCCGGGACTGGAGCCTGCAATGAGTGCTGAGCTGTTCTCAAAACCAGTCCCAGGAGTGCAATGAAACGGGAGGTTCTGACCTATCACATTTTGTGAGCCCCCAAATAGCGCTTTTCAGTGCTTAGTCTTCCCCTTAGTTGACTAATTAAATTGTTTTCCACTGTAGTGGCCTGCCTGGTGAAAGCAGAGAGCCATTAAACAACAGTTCCCCATGCTTGGCCAGCTTTTGTTCCTTTGCCTTCTCTGTAAATGTCAGTAAGAGCATTCCAAGGATATGAAGGATACAGCAGGCAGGGTCACATAAGGTTCCCTGTCATAGCAGGGGTCTGATCCTGCAAGGTGCTGAACATTCACATTACGCAGAAGGTCCTTTCAGCTTGGTCCTGCAGCCCTTGCTTACATGAACAGGCCCATTGGTGTTAGTGAGACTTGCAGGGTTTCTGAATCAGACCCTTTGGGCTCCATCTTGCAGCCTTTACTCATGTGAACTGTTGGATTGGGTCACCTGAGAGAGGGCTTCAGGATCAGGCCCGTTTTTTCTGTACATGGTTACTTTGTGCTCTCCCTTTAAGGAATATCTTGTGAAGTTTCTAGCTTTGCTGCCTGAAAAGCTTCTGAAGGATGATTTTGATTTTAAGGGTGGGTGGCTGCCTATCCCAGAGTGATTGGTTAATTTCCCCCCGCGTTATTATCCACTTTTGTGAACACACAGGGACCATTGCTAATCCCATTGAAGCAAACAGAAGTTTTGCCATTGATCTCCATGGAACAAGATTAGGCTCATCATGGGGCAGTTTTTCAGTGTAAGTCACTCATTTGTCCCTACGTTAAGATATTATTATTATTATTAATTATATTGTGGAGGCAGCAGAAAGCTTCAATTAAGATTGTGGCCCCACTGTGCTAGGCCCTGTGCATACACATAGTAAGAGGGAGTCTTGCAAAACTATGCCTTTTGTAAGTTTAAAACTAGACACTGGATATATTTTTGTTTTCAAAAATTGCTGCCCCATTATGGCTGTTCAGTGACCGGTGTGCAATGCATATGTCTGTGTCAGTCCAGTTCTCAATGGACAGACATCCAGGTAACAACAACAACAACACACAATGGAAAGTGGCACTAATTTCCCAACTCATTGGCAGTCTCCATCTTTGCCGACCTTAAGCACAAATCGAGCGAGCAGCACACTGAGGCCCGACTCTTCTGGGAACTGGGCATTTCATGCAAAGTTCTTAAACTCCTGGGTTTGGCCCTATCTCCATAAATTATTTCAGCCCTGGATTCAGCTGAGAGTGCAAGGAACAAGTGAGCATGGAGAGCAGCCTGAGCTCTCCGCTCACCCCCAAAGCCGCTGCCCCCAAGTCAGTGCTGAAGCACTCTGAACAGGCTGGTGCCTGGGCTCTGGAGAGACAATTTAGCAGTAATTCCCCAGATGAGGTTTGTTTTCCAAGAAAAGCACTGGCAGGTTTTCTTGGCAATTCAATGCGGGGAAGGGATAGGTCAATGGATCATCGTTTAGTGATGTTTTGATTTGTTTTTCGTTAACTGCCAACAACATGCTTGGCACTACATGTGACAAGGGGGAAGATCCAACAGATGAGCAACCATCCTGCCCATGTGCAGAGCACTGGCTTCCAACTTGCATCACCCGTATCAAATCTGATGGCGAAATGGCAAGGCCTTCCGGGAGTGATTCAGATAGACCTGGGAAATTATAGCAGATACTTCTTCTGTAGCATGCTGAATTCAGTGGAGCTGACAGCAGCTGAGGATAGGCCCACACTGTATATCTGAACAAATCTGACAGAGTTTAGTAACCCCCTTCCCACTCCTACGCCCTTGAACTCAGCTTTCAAGCTGTGGTGATCGGTTTTGTACTGAATATAGGACAGAGCAAGTTTAATGTGCTTCCATTGTGGCATGATATAGGCATCCATAGGTAAGGAACTGCCTGACATTTCTTGCATTCCTGGGCAAAGAGCTCAGATAGGGATTATACAGAGATTCATTTGTAGAGATTAAACTGGCAGATCTCAACTAAGTGAAGCCTTAATGCCTGCCTCCGGCATGC